CCTTTGAGAGTCCCTTGGATGACAAGGAGATCAAACCAGTCCATCCTAAAGGAAATCAGCTCTGAATATTCATTGGAAGGACTGATGTTGAAGCTGAAACTCCAATACTTTGACCACCTGATGGGAAGAACTGACTCATTGGAAAAGACCCTGATGCTGGGAAAGATTGAGGACAGGAAGAGAAGGGGATGACAGGATGAGATTGTTGGATGGCATCACCAACTCAATGGACATGAGTTTGAGTAAGCTCCAGGAGTTGGTAAGGGACAGGGAGGCCTGGCTACTGCACTCCATGGGATCACAAAGAGTCACAAACGACTGAGTGATTGAACTGAAGGAATACGTTAATGCTTAGGGGATACAGAGAACAATATAGCAATTCCTATTTTCAAGCTTACTAGCAAGGGGGAAACCACACACCCACTCAGTTAACTATAATAAAATGTATATAAGATGATTTGAACTATAAAAATACATTCTGCCTTAGGAAAAGGAAAAGTCTTTGGTGGTGGTTTTATTAAACTACAGAGTTTTAGCATGGTTTATTACACAGCAGTAAACAACAAAAGCATTGAAAAATCTAGTTTTCTGTGTTTCAGCTGCTGCAACACAAAGCAGAACAGAAAGTGCAGAGACAGTGTTGATGGACAAGGAACAATATAGTGAAAATGCAACATTTGAGGACATGAAGAAAATTAGGGAGCCAAAATGCAGATCTCTGTGGGAAAGACATTTTTGAAAGTTTTAGCTAGTACAAAGATCTTAGTCAGGGGTCTGAAGAACTCAAGAACAGAGAAAAGGTTCATATGTCTATAGTACAGTGTGAAGGAGGGAGAAAAGAATAGATGAAGTTCGAAAAGTATTAAATACTACCCTGGAGAAGCCAGATCATGTAAGCTCTTACAAATCAAAGGAAGAACTTTAGCTTTTAGTCTAAGTGAGAGGAAATGCCACTGGAGAGTTCCAAGGGCATAACAGAATCACTGTGGCTGCTGTAACAAAAACATATTCAGGAATATATTATATATAATATTACACATGCATAATAAATTTAAAAATATAAAAATTAAGTGTATGATTTATTCATGTATTTTCATATTTGAATAAGTAAAAATAAAATTATATTTTATATTTATTTTGGGGTTGGTCATAAAGTTTGGATTTTTCTGTAACATCTTATGGAACACTTGAACAAACATTTTGGCCAACCCAATATACATTTATGTTTTATAACAATATATATAATATATTTATAAATTAAAATGTGTATTCATTTATATAGTCTTAAAATATAAATATATACATTATGAAGAATTGGCTTACATGACTATGGAGGCTGAAAAGTCTCATTGATGTGTCATCTGCAAGCTGGAGATCCAGAAAAGCTGGTGGTGGAATTCAGCCTAAGTTTGAGAGCCTAAGAACCAAAGGGAGTTGATGGTGCAGAACCCAGTCTGATTGTTGAAGATGAAATAAGATGTCTCAGCCTAATCAGTGAGGCAGGAAAAAGGGGATGATTCTTCTTTTCTTCACCTTCTGTAGTATTCTGGTGCTCAAAGGATTATATGATGCCTATCCACATTAGTGAAAGCAATTTACTTTACTGAGTTCACCAATGCAAATGTTAATCTCATCTAGAAACACCCTCAGCTACATACCCAGAAATAATATTTAATCTGGGTACCTTGTGGTCAGTCTAACTGACACATAAAATGAGCTATCACAGAGTATATTTTTAATGGTGAAAGTATAGGCTTTACTATGGAAAAAAAAATTAACTAGCCCTAAACTAACAGTGTATTTATTCAATAAAAGTTAATAAAAGCTATTTCTTACTTATGCAAAATTTGGAGACAGTCAAGCACCTTTGTAGGGCAGTTGTCATTGATGTGGTGACCAGGTAGGTATTCTATACAGTGTTTACCTCACAGCTCTTTGACCTTAATATGCAGACCCACAATCACTGCTTTCACATCTCTTCTTCTATAATATAGTTTTGAATTGACACATGTTGCTTTCATTAACAGCCAACTGACCAGAATGAATTGTACAGTCCCATCTAACAAGGGAGTTGGAAAATGCAGAGAAATAATATGGAATAATTGCTGAGCCTTACTGAGTCTGCCCAGGGGGCAGTGCTTCTTAAAAATCAAAAGGTGGGACTTCCCTGGTGCCCAGTGGCTAAGACTCTGCTCTCGAAACCCAGGGGGCATTTCCAGGTCAGGGAACTAGATCCAACATGCCACAACTAAGAACTCACCTGTTGCAACTAAGATACTTAAAAAAAAAAAAAAAAGAGGGGTAATAGGCAACAATGAAGCACTGAGGGATGTTGTGAAAAAATTATTAAAACAATAAGGGTACCACAAGCTGAGAAGTTTGGGAACCTCTGGCCTATAACAAGAAAAGGAAATGAGAAAAGCACAACCCAAAGCAGACCACAGCCACTTCCACTTAAACATGGAAGAAATGAAAGCAAATCACATCTTCCTCCTATCCCTCTGGTCAAGCCTTATACGAGGGGAGGGTAAGAATTGTGAATTTATTAGAGTTTGAAGATGATATTTCAAACCAAGTTGGACTATTAGTAACTGAGGGTGACCAAGATATTATGAAATCTGACTGAGTTATTGTCAAGGGAAGGATAAGGTGTATTTCATTGACTACCACTAAAAGCAATTAAGAGAAAATAGTGTTGTCATGTTCTTATCTCACTGAGTTGTGACAGCTCAACTACAGTAAAGACAATTAAACTTATCTTGACGATTGATGTAGCCATTACTGACTATAAGAGGAAGTGGTAATATTAAAGTTAATCCATTCATGAATCCACTCATTGAACAAATATATACATATGCCTACCATATGCTAGGGCTTCCTTGGTGGCTCAACATTAAAGAGTCTGCCTGCAATACAGAAGACCCAGGTTCAATCCCGTAGTTGAAAAGATCCCCTGGAGAAGGAAATGGCACCCCACTTTAGTATTCTTGCCTATGAAATCCCATGGACCGAGGAGCCTGGCAGGCTACAGTCCATGGGGTCACAGAGTCAGACATGACTGAGTGACTAACACACACACACACACACACACACACAC